AAGGGCAGCTCTCCAAAGGTATTGAGGCAACCAGCAATCACCCATTATTTACACTGAGTGGCTCCTGAGTCTGTGAAAGAGCAAATTGAACATATTCGTCTGGAATTGTCGTAACGTTAATGTGGAAAGCTCCTAGATCTACTACATTTTTAAGCTGTAGACGGCAGACACCATCAGCTGCCTGCCAGGACGGGTCCAGCCACCTTCTTTTCTGCTGGCAGAAGCTTTACCTGTTCAGAGAGAGGAGGAGAGTCCTTGAGCTCGGGAAGGGTAGGCTCTAATGTGATTGACTTAAATCAGGTATCACCATGAAGTATCAAGTTCCTCCTCTCTCTCCCCTTGTCGTCATAATTCAGCAGCTGTAACTCTTTCTTTGCTACTCCTTCCATCATCCTTTGTACAAAGGGTAAATTCCTCTATTTTCTGAAGCACCTAACAATATCAATAATAACTTGACATGTCCTTTACATTTTTATTAAGAATGTTATTATTTTTATTAGTTTTGGGGCAGCTTACCCCAACCCTGCTCTCCCTCATTCTTTCACATGATTTTACAGAAAGCAAGGTTGTTCAAGGACACATCCATTATGGTATAGTAGAAAACACCTGAGCCCCTGCAAGAACAATTGTGTTATTACAACCTGAATAAGTTACTGGAGCTGGCTAAGAACATTTGCTCTTCTGAAAAATAGGGATAATAATAGCACCTCCCTGATAGAATAAAATTACTGTGAAGACCAAGAGAAAACGAAATGTAAAATTTTTAGCATAGTATCAGTACATAAAAAGTGCTCAACAAATTTACCAAGAATTATTATTATTTAAGATTTTATTTATTGATTCATGAGACACACACACACACACACACACACACAGAGAGAGAGAGAGAGAGAGAGGCAGAGACACAAGCAGAGGGAGAAGCCGGCTCCATGCAGGGAGCCCAACGCGGGACTCGATTCTGGGACTCTAGGATCACGCCCTGGGCTGAAGGTGGCACTAAACTCCTGAGCCACCTGGGCTGCCCAAGAATTATCGTTATTAATTATCATTATTATTATTCTCCTTGACCATCTCTCATGTGGCTTGACTTGTGACTCCTTCCCACTCTGTTGGATCTCCCGGAGGACATCGTATTTGTCAACATTCCTCTGAAGGTGTGGTCACCAGGTCGGATCTGTGTGTAGAGGAACAGGGACCTCTCCATCCTAGTTCTGTACTCAATGATGTTATTAGTATAATTCTACATTAGTTTCTTTGTCTTCCCGATACTTCCTCATGATGACCCAACTAAAAGACCTTTGTCTGCATCACCTAGGCACTCCTAAGCCAAGTTTCCCCATCTCCAGGTTTCGTAATTTAAGAAGTCCACGTTAGAGCTGAACGCTTAACCTGCTAAATGTCATCTTGTCAGAGTTAGCCATCAACCCAGTCAGCCGGATTTAGGCCTGACTCAAAACATTGCTCCCTGCCTACCTCCATCAGGCCATCTGCATACTTGGCCGGCTTGCCTTCTTCATACTTATACACATCATACATAAGATTATTGACAAGGATGGGAACAGACTCATTTTATACTGAATTTTAGAATTTTCTCCGGGTTAACATTTTTGGGGATAGTTGTTCTCCTGGGTATAAGTTCTCCGAACCCTAATGTAATCTCTCCTCTCCCTTTCTCCATCTTAGCTACAACTGCCATCTTTGATTGCCTCCCTCCAATTAGATGGAAGCCCCCTGCCCCTAGCCCCCAGGTATCTCCTTGGGCCTGACTTACCACACTATGCTGGCTCTCCCTGGTTTTTATTGTGTGTCCCTCCCCTACCTAGAGGGTAAGATTGAGCGTTGCTCACTATTCTAGCCTCGCTGGCTAGCACATATGCACTTTGTTAAATATTTGTTAAAAGTTGAATGAATTAACAATTCTGTTAAGTGTCCAGTTGAAGTTAAGATCCATATTTTCCATGGAGAGTCTCCCCTTCTCCTGGTCAGAAAGCAGAACAGGCAAAGAAATGCAGCTCGTCCACACGGCTAGTTCTCAGTGGGCACAGGCAGGCTCCTGGATGTCTTCTGCTGTTCCTCGGAGCCCAGCTGCCAAGTTCTTAGCGATCCTTTGTAGAATTTTGCATCTGTGACAGTTCTGGAAAACCTATGTGGGCGTTGCCAGCCTGTTACACAATGTGCTCCGACTATTTATTTACTCAAGTTGAATAAAGGTTAATTTTTCATTTTATCTTTTGATTATCAAGCACATAAATTTCAGGTGATTCATATCATGTTAAAGTCCAGAAACAGTCTTTCAGTTTGGTCAATCTTTCCAACAGTGGGTCATGTTCACTGTGGTTTAAAGAACTGATTAGATTCTTTGTGTTTCAACCTAGGACTACCTGGACAGGGAGACCTGGGGAGACTCCCAGAATTCCCAGTCGTTAGATGGGGTTTTCTCTCGGGAGCAGTGGCTGCTGCTTCCTCTGCTCTCTGAGTGTAAAAACAGGATGCCATGAGACCTGCCCAAGCAGATGAAATCTCCAAGCTCCTTCTCTGGCTCTTACCCGCCTCTCTCATTTTTCTTATCTCCAGGCGCCAGCACTACCTCCCACCCAGTCATCACACCAAAACAGGGACTAGAGGATTGTCTGCGTTCCTTCCAATCAGCCAGAGTCTAGTAGGCCTCTCCTCTCAAACACCACTCATGTCCAGCACGGGTGCTGGGTGAATGTTCACCAACCAACTCTTTGGGGGAAAAACAAATTCCTAATTTGGAGTGTTTGCCAGTTTCCATGCTGTAAATCCTCCCTCTGTGGCCCGTTTCAAGCTGCCAACATGAAGACACTAAATGTGGAGTCGGGAGGAGATGTGCACAAGCTGGCACAGGCTGGCTCCGCTGCCCCGTGCTTTCTCCCACCTTCCTGCTCCCACCTCCCCTGCACCAGATCAGAGTTTCATGGCCTTCAGGACCCTTGCAAGGATCTTTCCTCCTGGACCCCCCCCCCCCCCGTTCCTGGAAGCTTTTCCTGACACCCTTTTGCTCCTGTTGGGTCCCTCAGGTGTATATATAATGTGTACCTAATGCCCCATGTGCATCTCTCTCCGCCGCCGTCATGTCACATTGCTATGGTATGTGTTTATGTCAGTCTTTCTCACTGGTCTATGAACTTCCGGAGCCCAGAAACTGATAACACTGACAAAGGGTAGTGTTACTGAGCTGGGAACTGTGCTCCGTATCTTAAGTGCATTATCTCATTTAATCTTCACAATGACTCTCTGAGGTCGATGCTCTTATTATGCTCATGTTACAGATAAGGAAATTGAGGCACAGAGAGGCTAGATAATTCACCCAAGGTTGCACAGCTGGTTGCACACATCTAGAGCCAGATTTGATCCCAGGCCTGATTAGAGAACTCAGACCCTTAACTACTAAGGCTTCTTTATCTTTGTGCATCTAGCACTTGGCCCTCGGCCTGTGCAGCCGGGGCGTTGAGCAATGTGGTGAGGGGAGGCTGACCGTACCCTTGACTAGTTCCTTTGCTCTAGGTTTGCTCCGCGTCAGGCTCTCTCCCAGGAGTAAGCAGTATGACCTCTCAAGACTAGAACCCTGATCGTGTTATCCATCTGATAATAATGTTTCAACGTCTCCATGACTTTCAAGACGGATTCCTTACCTTGACACCTACAAACCTTCATGATCTGGGGTCTGCTCGTTTCTCTAGAGACACCTTCCACTATTGATAATCACACTTATTCATTCAAATTTTACTACTTATCCAATAGATGCAAGCTTTATTGAATAATTTAGGCCCAACAAGGTGCCAGGCCTTGTTCTAGGATGTGTACGAAAAGACGCGCTCTCTCCCCTAGAGACGTTTTGAGTTCAGTGGAGAGAGACAGACACATGTCACATGACTGCGACAGTGGTTGGAACAGAAGTGCATCCAGCTTTTACCGGGATGCACAGCAGGCATCGTTCTCAGTCTCTGACATGTTCTTCATTTGGCTCTTGCCCCTCGACTGGCCGGTTTTCACAGGAGTCCTGCTGCTGACTTGTAAGATTCATTTGCACATGCTCTTTCCTCTTCTTAGAATTTTTTCCTAATAACCATCTACTTATCCTTGAAAATTCCTTCTCAACTGTCATCTGCAAGAAGTCCTTGCTGCCATCCCCACCCCCCACCCCAGCCAGCCTAACTGAAAGGTCCCGTATATTCCTGCAACCATCCTAACGCTTAACACCATGTACTGTTCCAGCTGTTCTTGTCCCTCTCACTGGCTTGTGAACTCATCTCTCATTGTATTCCTGAACACATAGTGGATACTAAGTAAATGTTGAATAAATGAATGAAACAGTGAATTAATGATTGGAAATGTCATCCTTAGGGACACCTGGGGGGCTCAGTGGTTAAGCATCTGCCTTTGGCTCAGAGTGTGATCCCGGGGTCCTGGGATCCAGTCCCGCATCAGGCTCCCTGCTCGGAGTCTGCTTCTCCCTCTGCCTGTGTCTCTGCCTCTCTCTGTGTCTCTTGTGAATAAATAAAATCTTTAAAAACCAAAAAAGGAAATGTCATCTTTACTCATCTAACTCTGAATTGACTGTGGCTCTAAACACCAACATCGGATTTGAAATCTAGCTTTATTTTCAACAAAATATCCTTAGCAAACAAGAGAAGGAGAGTGTTTGGTTTCCCCTCCCCTCCCCTTCTTCTTCACGTCCTCCTCCTTTTTGGGAACATTTACAAACATTCCTGCTAGATTATCTCATGAGCACTGGTGTATCAGAGGGAAACTACCTTTAGGTTTAAATCCAAAAGGCAACCATTGGGGGATTCTCACTGTTGTTTTTTTAGAATCTTTTAAAAACCTAGAGTTATTGTAACAGGCACATTTTATCATCTTGGCTGTTGTGTGAATACTCCGGGCAGGGATGCTGTGTGACAAATGTGGGAGCTGATAAAGCAGGGGACAGGGGGCATTTGGGTTGAGGGAAGTGATATGGGAACAAAGCCCATCAGATGGTAACAAGACAGGACTGGGAGGTGGTGGCTGGGCAGGTGGGTGGAAGAAGCAAGAGTCATGACAGGAAGGTCCGCTGTATGTACGCTGCTCATACACAGAGCGTTGTCGGGGAGCAGTGTTTGCCCACAGGTATGTGGATGTCTATCAGCAGGTCCTGTGGATTCAACTTAGACTTGTCTGTGGTTCTCCCCCGTGGGTTGATCCTCTAACTATGAGCTTTTTTCTTGTCTGCCCAAGGCCAAGGGCAGCAGGACCGGTTACCATGTGGCAGCTGTCGCCGTGCCTAGAAGGGGCGGCGCAGAGAACTGGGGTGAAGAAGGGCTTTCTTTCCAAAAGTGATAAAGGGGACGTTCCCTGGCCCTCCTAGGGGGGAATGGTTCTCCTGTCCTGAGCAGCCACAAAAGACAAATGTTGAAAAGGGTGGATTCAAAGCTTGAAACCCAGCCTTGCTGACAGGGTGGGATGCTCAACAACGCCATCTCTGCAGGTTTGGATGTAATCAATAAATGTTTATGACATTTATAGCAGAGCGATTATTCTTCAAAAGCATGGGATTTATTTTAACAGTCATTTAAGAGTCTCCCTGTGCGTGTAAAGCCTCCTGAATACAATCTTACCCGACACTGTGGATTTATCTTGTTGAGCAATTTCCTTCGAGTCTGGAAGGCCCAGGTGTGAGTCTGGAGTCTTAGAAAAGCCGGCGACTGCAGAGATGGTCTCTCCTTGTTCATGAAGGTGTTTGGAGATATGCCACATGGGGAGGGCCTAGGAGCTGGGGACCGTCCCCTGTTTCCCCCTGGGGCTGCTGGTGGGAGCGGCGTGGGTGATGCGAAGTGAGTCTTACATGGGTCAGGTCTTAGCATCTGTGGGCCACCTCCAGGTTTTGCCTCGGGCAGTGTGTGCACGCGGGCTCGTGCTCAGGCACACGCTGCATCAAGCAGACGGGATGCCAGCAGGGGCTTCCAGTGGGAAATTAGATCCTTCCCTCCATCCCTCCATCTGCCTCTCTTAGCGATGAGCGTGACCAAGGCCAGAGAAGTGGGAGAGGCAGGCCAGTCCTGTCCGCGCTGAGCCTGCGAGGGGCGGTGACGTGGAAGGAGAGAGGGGCAAGGCCAGCAGTCGGGCGGCCCCCTTGCTGTCCCTGCGTCCCACCTGCTAGCTGTGAGACCCTGGGCACCTAGTTAGCCTGTGTCACCACTTAGCCTTCTGTGTGAACTGGAGATCTTAGTGTCTACGCCGCGGGCCGCCATGAGGATTGAGGAGTCAGGGTAAGGGCCTCTCCTTGTGCTCGGCTCCATGGAAGGATCTGGAGTGCCTCTGACTGTTCCCTGGACAACCGTGATAGCATCCGGATTCATTTTCCTTTTGTCCTTATCCCTTGATAGCCCTTTCCCACCAAGCAGCTTCATTTTTTTTGTTTGTTTATTGTTTTTTCTTCTTTCTTTCTTTATTTCTTTCTTTCTTTCTTTCTTTCTTTCTTTCTTTCTTTCTTTCTTTTTCTTTCTTTCTTTTTCTTTCTTTCTTTCTTTCTTTCTTTCTTTCTTTCTTTCTTTCTTTCTTTCTTTCTTTCTTTCTTTCTTTCTTTCTTTCTTTCCTTCCTTCCTTCCTTCCTTCCTTCCTTCCTTCCTTCCTTCCTTTCTTTTTTCTTTCTTCTTCTTTCTTCTTCTTTTTTGGTTCCACACATGGTGAAGTCATATGGTATTTGTCTCTCTGTCTGACTTCTTTCACTTAGCATGGTACCCTCTAGGTCTGTCCGTGTTGTCACCAATGGCACAGTCGCATCCTTTTCACGGCCTTGTAATCTTCCACCGTAGATAGAGGCCGAGTCTTCTTTATCGCTTCATCTACTGGTGGACACATAGGTTGCTCCCGTATCTCGGATATTGTAAAGAACGCTACAGTAAACACAGGGATGCATCTATCTTTTTAAATTAATGTTTTTATATTCCTTGAGTAAATAACCTGAAGTGGGTTTGCTGGATCATACGGTATTTCCGTTTTTAACTTTTTGAGAAACCTCTATCCTGTTTGTCAAAGTGTCTGTGTGGAGCAAAGCTTTTATTTTATTTTATTACATTTTAAAGATTTATTTATCTTATTTATTTGTTTATTTTTTAAAGATTTTATTTATTTACTCATGAGAGACAGAGAGAGAGAGGCAGAGACATAGGCAGAGGGAGAAGCAGGCTCCCTTCGGGGAGCCCAATGCAGGACTTGATCACAGGACCCAAGGATTATGCCCTGAGCTGAAGGCAGACATTCACCCCTGAGCCACCCAGGTGTCCCCAACTTTTTAATTTAAATTCAATTTGCCAACCTATAGTATAACACCCAGTGCTCATCCCATCAGGTGCCCTCCTCAGTGTCTGTCCCCCCAAAACTTTTAAAAATGTGCAGCGTATCACATCACTTTCCCAAGGCTTCCCATCGCTCTGACCGCCCCTCCCTACCCCCTCCCTCATGCACCTGTGCTTTAGCTGCCCTGACATTGTTCCTCAAACAGCCTCTGTTCTCTTGCTCTTACTGTTCCCTGCCCTTTGTCTTTGCACGGCTGGCTCCTTTCTGAGAAAGCCCTCCAACCAAAAGGTGTTCTTTCCCCCTGCAGCCTAGCATACCACTCTGTTTCATTTTTATGTGAAAAAATCCTGTTTGTTTACTGTTTCTCCTGTGTCACATCTGCCCCTCCCCAATCCCCACCGGTGCCTCCTTTCCCTCCCCTAGCATTCAGGTCCCCTGAGAGAATTTATCTTTTTCCCCCCTATTGTGTCCCCAGGACAATGTACAATGCTTGGCATGTGCTTGGTTTGTACTTAATAAGTATTGGTTGAATCAGTGAAAAAAAATGAATGTGTCTTATCCTGCTCGTCTCCATTCTATCCTTTCGTCAAAGTCTCACTCAACTCTAAGCTTGGCCATGAGGTCATTTCTGACCATCACAACATTTAAGAATATCTTCCATCCATCTCCCTCTTAACTTATGTCTCTGAAAAGAGTTGGTGATCTCTCTGCTCTTTCCCTCCTCTTCTCTTTCTTCCTCCCTCTCTTCCATCTGCCTCTGGCATCCATCAATTTTCCCCATTTGGGAAGTGCTCAAGATTTTTAAAATTTTATTTTAATGAGGGAGATAGCAAGCCAAAAGCTAATCATAAAATGGCCCTCCTGTAATTTGTGCTGTGATCCGAATGTGAAGGTATCTTGCCCCTGGGAAAATACAAGGTGCTGGATTACATGAGGGATATTGGTGTGGGGGTGGAGAGTTGAGGTGCTGTACATTTAGATTGTACCTGGGGGGAAAAATCCCCACAATGTTAATAATTGGTGAATATGAGTGAAGGGCACCAGTGAGTTCCTTTAAATTCCCGCAGCTTCTCTTTACATTTGAAATTATTTGAAAATAAAATGTCAAAAATTCTTTCCTTCTCAAAAAATGTAGAAAGTGAAATTTATCAATCTTTTGCTTTATAGTTTTTGGCTTCTGTGCCGTGGCTTGGAAAAACCAAGGTCATAAGAATATTAACTCACATATTCTTTCTTTTTTAAAACATTTTATTTCTATTTTTTCTTTATTTATTCATGAGAGACACACAGAGAGAGAGAGAGAGAGAGAGGCAGAGACACAGGCAAAGGGAGAAGCAGGCTTCCTGCAGGGAGCCCAATGTGGGACTCGATCTGAGCACCCTGTGATCACAACCTGAGCCAAAGGCAGAATCTCAAACGCTGAGCCACCCAGGTGCCCCTCACATTTTCTTTCTATGGTTTTATTTATTTATGTTAAAATCTTTGGTCTATCTGGAATTTTGGGGTGGAAGGAAAATAATCCAGATTTTTTTCCTCATACATCTAATCAATTTTCCCCAAAATATTTATTGCATAGTCAATCTTTTCTCACTGGTGTCAAAGAATTTGTTTATCACATACTGAAAGTCCTTATACGTTACATGCATATGTGCTATCTCTTGATACATCCCAGATAATCCCACATCCTTTGATGTGTCCTTGTGCGTATCTCTCAGTATTCATTTACCTCCTCCATCATAATTTTCTGATGAGTTTTGGCTATTTATATTTTCAGAAGAATTTCGGGGGCACCTGGGAGGCTCAGTCCAGTTAAGCATCTGCCTTTGGCTCAGGTGAAGATCCCAGGACCTCACATTGGGCTCCCTGCTCAGCAGGGAGTCTGGTTCTCCCTCTCTCCCTGCTCTTGCGCTCTCTCTCATACTCTCTTGCTTTCAAATAAATAAATAAAATGTAAAAAGCAGCTCAGAACACTTTGATTTGGGGATTATTTAATTTCAGGTAATACACAAACCCATTCAAAAGGGTTTATTGGGCATACACAAGAGTTTCACTCTTGTGAAGCTTGAACAACCAGGCCTCAGTAAGGATAAGAAAATCTAGAAGGACGTGGGTTAATGTGATGGAAATATTTAAACTATAACTCTAGTTTGCCTTAATCATTACATGGCTTGATCTCAACCACCAGCTCTAAAGTCTAGTTCAAATTCTTAGGAGAAATAATTGACTTGGTTCCCGGCCAACCAATGGATTGGGGCTTTCTGATTTGGGTGCCTGTAGAAGTTGTGTCACAAATACAGCTGCTGGAGAATATCTTCACAAGTGGAAAGTTCTCAGAAAATGAATATATGGGTTTGGCAGATGTTCTCAATAATGTCTAGTAAAAGTTTTATAATACTGGGTCTTTAAGATCAGTGACTTTCCATTTATTCAGATCTCTTCCTATAACCCCTCATAGAATTTTTTTTAGCTTATTCAAAAACATTGTCCCTAATTATCTGTTTAGGTATTTTACACTTTTTATCATTTTGAATGGAATCTTCTTCACTATATTTATTGTAACTGTTGATTGGTTATTTTTTATATATGAGAAAGTATTTTTTATATTTAGTTTTAATCAGCTACTCTGTTGAATGTTCTGATCATTTCTAATTGTTGCCAATTGTTTCTTCTGAGTTTGCTAGGTATAGAGTCATGTTATCTAGAAACAAATATTGTTTTGTCTTCTTTATTATATATTGCTATGTTTTATATTCTTTTTAAATGCTTTTTTTATTCTTTTAAAATTCTAACATTTTTACTATGATCAGAAAGAAACCAGTAAGTTTCTTTTCATTTTTTTAAACCAAGAGAAAAGGACAAAAATATTTTGTTACATTTTGGGTAGTCTAACAAAAATGTGAAACAAGATACTTCTTGATGAGCTTAACTGGAAATAATCTATCCAGCCAACAAACCAACCAGCCAACTATCCATCCTTCCTTCCGTTCAACTATGCATCCATCCATCCATCCATCCATCCATCTATCCATCCATCCCACAAATGTTTATTGCTGCATTTTTTATATGGTAGATTCTTGTGGTTACTATAAGAAAGACATGGTCCCTACTCTTAAAGACTTCAGATGGAGAAACCAACATAAAGACAAGCAATTATAGTGATAAGGCAGAGCACGGTATATTAATAGAAGCACATAAAAAGGGCACCTTAAGCAGCTTTAGACAGTCTGGGAAAGTTGCTGGAGGTGAGTAACATTTAAAGAGATTTATAAGGAAATATTTGAATGGAAGAAAGATCACACTCTCAATAAATGTATTACATAATTTAGTTACTTTAAAATTCTTGAGTGCAGGCATGTCAGTGTTTTTAGCTGTTAGCCATTCTGAAATCTTCATGAATCTCAAGATTTTTAATTTGCCTTTGCAGCTCAGGGGGCCGATGACACTCTGGAGAACCCGGCACTGGATACAAGTCTGCTGGAGGAATTCCTGGGCAATGATTTCGATCTGGGGGCCTTGTAAGTAAAGAAAGCACTGCTCTCCATTTGATGATTTAAAAGTTATGAAATAGGGCACCTGGCGGGGTTCAGTCAGTTAAGTGGCTGCCTTCTGCTCAGGTCATGATCTCCAGGTCCTGGGATCAAGCCCCACATCAAACTCCCTGTTCAGTGGGGAATCTGCTTTTCCCTCTGCCTCTCCTTCCCCCCTCCTCCCCCTGCTCCTATACTCCCTAGCTCTCTCCTTCTCAAATAAATAAATAAAATCCTTAAAAAATAATATAAAAAAACCAAACCAAAAGTAATGAAATAATTAGGGACTCCTGGGTGGCTCAGAGGTTGAGCATCTGCCTTTGGCTCAGGGTGTGATCCCAGAGTTCTGGGATCAAGGCCCACATTGGGCTCCCTGCATGGAGCCTGCTTCTCCCTCTGCCTGTATCTCTGCCTCTCTCTCTCTCTCTCTCTGGGTCTCTCATGAATAAATAAATAAAATCTTAAAAAAAAAGTAATGAAATAATTAAATGAGCTGGGAATTGTTCCCTCTTCTGTTTTCCAAAAGGCCATGGTTAGAGTTGGTATTACTTCTTCTATAAATATTTGGCAGTTTTCATGAGTGAAGTCAGCTGGGCCTAGCATTTCTTTTTTTATAGGAAAGTCCTTCAAGGACATTTGGATTATTTCCAGTTTTTGACAATTATGAAGAGCTCCTATAAATATTAATACACACGTTTTGATGTGATCAAGAGCCATATTTTTTAAGGGTAATATTTATTTATTCAAATTCTAATTTAAACTCTAGTTGGTTAATATATAGTGTAATATTGGATTTAGGAGCAGAATTTAGTGATTCATCACTTACCTACAACACCCAGTGCTCATTGTAACAAGTGCCCTCTTTAATACCCATCAGCCATGTAGCCTATCTCCCACCCACCTCCCTCCATCGACCCTCAGGTGTTCTCTATCATAAAGAATCTCTTATGGTTTGCTTCTCTCTTTTTTTCCCCCCTTCCCGTATGTTCATCTATTTTGTTTATTAAATTCCACATGAGTGAAATCATATGGTATTTGTCTTTCTCTGACTTATTTTACTTAGCATGATACACTGTAGCTCCATCTATGTTGTTGCAAATGGCAAGATTTCATTCTTTTTGATGGTTGAGTAATATTCCATTATATATATATATTCCATTATATATATATATATATATTTATATATATATATAAAACATCTTTATCCACTCATCTGTTGATGGACATTTGGGCTCTTTCCATAGTTTGGCTATTGTTGATAGTGCTGCTGTAAACATTGGGGTGCAGGTAACCCTTCAAATGTGCATCTTTGTATCCTTTGGGTAAATACCTAGTAGTGCAATTCCTGGGTTATAGTTCTATTTTTAACTTTTTGAGGAAACTGTATCCTCTTTCAAGAATGGCTACACCAGTTGCATTCCTACCCACAGTGCAAGAGGGCTCCCCTTTCTCCACATCCTCACCAATATCTTGTATCCTGACTTGTTAATTTCAACCATTCTGACAGGTATGAGATGGTATTTCATTGTGGTTTTGATTTATATTTCCCTGATGATGAGCAATGTTGAGCATCTTTTTATTTGTCTGTTGGCCATCTGGATGTCTTTTTTGGAAAAATGTCTTCTATTCATGTCTTCAGCCTCTTTCTTCCTTCCTTCTTTTCTTTCTTTTTTTTTCAAGATTTACTTACTTATTTTTGTTTTCTTTTAGAGGGAGGGAGAGCACATGCGTGAGTGGGGGGAGGGGCAGAGGGAGAGAATCTTTAAGCTTGACTCTGAGCTCGATCCTATGACCCATGAGATCATGACCTAAACAAAACCAAGAGCCAGATTCTCAACCAACTGAGCCACCCACGTGCCCCTCTTCTGTCCATTTCTTAACTGGATTATTTGTTTTTTTGGATGCTGAGTTTGAGAAATCTTTTTTTTTTTTTAAAGATTTTATTCATTTATTCATGAGAGAGAGAGAGAGAGAGAGAGGCAGAGACACAGGCAGAGGGAGAAGCAGGCTCCATGCAGGGAGCCTGATGTGGGACTGGATCCCGGGTCTCCAGGATCAGGCCCTGGGCTGAAGGTGGCACTAAACCACTGAGCCACCCGGGCTGCCCGAGAAATTCATTACAGATTTTGGATACTAACCTTTTATCAGATATGTCATTTGTAAGTATCCTCTCCCATTCCGTAGGCTGCCTTTTAGTTTCGTTGATTGTGTCCTTCATTGTGCAGAACCTACTTTTTGTCTTGGTGAAGTCCCAGTGGTTCATTTTTGCTTTTGTTTCCCTTGTCCCCCATGACATGTCTAGTTAATAAGTTGCTACTGCTAAGGTCACAGAGGTTGCTGCCTATGTTCTCCTCTAGGAGTTTGATGGTTTCCTGTCTCACATTTAAGTCTTTCATCCATTTTGAATTTATTTTTGTGTGTGGTGTAAGAAAGTGGCCTGGTTTCATTCCTCTGCACTTGGCTGTCCAGTTTTCCCAACACCATTTATTGAAGAGACTGTCTTTTTCCATTGGATATTCTTTCCTGCTTTGTCGAAGATGAGTTGACCATATAGTTATGAGTCCATTTCTGGGTTCTGTATTCTGTTCCATGGATCTATGTGTCTATTTTTGTGCCAGTACCATGCTTGTCTTGGTGATCACAGTTTTGTAATACAGCTTGAAGTCCAGAACTGTTGCTTCCAGCTTTTGCTTTGCTTTTTCAGGATTGCTTTTTCAGACCCTGCTGTTTAGGGTCTTTTGCAGTTCCATATAAATTTTAGGATTGTTTATTCTAGCTCTGTGAAAAATGCTGGTGGTGTTTTGATAAATATTGAATTAAACGTGTAGATTGCATCGGGTAGTATAGACATTTTAACAATGTTTGTTTTTCCAATCCATGACATAGATATAGATTGAGGTTAATTTATTTGTGTATGGATGTCCAATTATTCCAAATTTATTTGTTGAATAACCTTTCTCCATTGAATTATTTTTACACCATAGTAAAAAAAATCAATTGACCATATTTGTGTAGATCTGTATCTAGACTCTATACAGTTCCATTGAGTTATGTGCCTATCATTTTGCCAATACTACACTATCTAGATTATTGTGCTTTTATTATGTCTTGAAATCATATAGTGTAAGTGCTCCAGATTTGTCTTTTTCTTGTGTGTGTGTTTTTTTAAAGATTTTATTTATTTATTCATAGAGACACACACACACAGAGAGAGGCAGAGACACAGGCAGAGGGAGAAGCAGGCTCCATGCAGGGAGCCCGACGTGGGACTCGATCCCAGGACTCCAGGATCACGCCCTGGGCTGCAGGCGGCGCTAAACTGCTGTGCCACCAGGGCTGCCCTGGATTTGTCTTTTTCAAAATTGTTTTGGCTATTCTAGTTCCTTTGGTTTTCCATATCAATATTAGAATTAGCTTGTTGACACATGTACAGTACTGCTGGGATTTTTATTACAATTGTATTAAGTCCAAAGATCCATATGCAGAGAATTGATATCTTAACAAAATTGAATCTTCCAATCCATCAACATGGTATATCTCTCCATTTATTTAGGTCTTCTTTAATTCTTTCATCAGTGTTTTATAGATTTCAGCATGTAAATCCTGCATATATTTTGTTAGATTTATATCTAAATATTTCATGTTTTTCTTTGAACTATTGTAAATAATAATTATTTCCCTCAAATTTTAGGTTCCAGTTATTCATTGCCAACATATAAAAATAGTATTGATATTTATATATTGAACTTGGGTCCTACAATCTTCATGAAGTCATTTATTAGTCCTAACAACTTTTAAATAGATTTTTGAGGATTTTCTGTTTACAATGATGTCATCTGTGAATTGGGAAGTTGTATGTCCCAAAATGTATGCCTTTATTTATTTATTTTTAGGATGTTATTTATTTATGTATTTGAGAAAGAGAGAGAAAGAAGAAAGCAAGAAAGCAAGTGAGCTCATGTGTGTGAGCACAGGGAGGAACAGAGGGGGAGGGAGAGGGAAAAGCAGATTCCATACTGAGTGCAGAGTCTGATGCAGGGCTTGACCCCATGACCCCAAGACCATGACCTGAGCAGAAACCAAGAAAGGGTTGCTCAGCTGACTGAGTAACCCAAGTGCCCCAACTCTATGCCTTTAGATACTTTTTCTTGCCTTATTGAACTGGGTAAGACTTTGGGTATAATGTTGAATAGAGTAGTTGCAGTACATGTCTTTGCCCTGTCCCTGATCTAAGAGGCCATTATTCAGTTTGTTAATCATTAAGTATAATTCAATGCTTTTTATTAACTTAGGGAGATTATCTTCTGCTCTAGTTTCCTCTGCTTAATTTTTTTTAAAAAAATTTACTTATTTATTTGAGAGAGAGAGAAAGTGGGGCGGGGGGCAATGCATAGGGAGAAGGAGAGAGAAACTCAAACAGACTCTGTGTTGAGTGTGGAGCCCAACAGGAGGCTTAATCTCACAAGGCTGAGATCAGACCTGAGATCAAGCCAAGAGTTGGGTGCTTTAGCTAACTGTGCCACTCAGGTGCCCCTTCCTCTGCTTAATTTTTGAATTCTGAACTAACCTTATATTCCTGGGATAAATTTCAATTTGTTGTGATATATTTATACATATTGTTAGATTCAATTTACTAACATTATATTGAGGGTTTTGCACCTATAATCATGAGAATATTGACCTGAAGTTTTCTTTTCTTATATTGTATTTTTCTGGCTTTGATGTCAGAGTAATTATAGCTTCCTAAAATTATATGTCAACTGTTCCTTCCTTTAAAATTCTCTGGATAAGATTGTGTGGAGTTGGATTTATTTCTCCTTTAAATGTTTGGTAGAATTAACCAATGAAACCGTCTTTGCTTGTAATTTGCTATGTTAGAAGATCTTAACTACAGATTAGATTTATCCAATAGATTCAGGACTATTCATTTTATCTCTTTCTGCTTACATGAGTTTTGGTAGCTTGTCCTCCCTCCCTGCTAGCCCCAA